GATGTTAATGAATATACTTGCTGTTTTTTTGTGTTAAAGTTATAGAATATTTCAAACTGAACTGTTTATGATAAATGATATATGAAGTATATTTTAATTTCAGGTTTCGGTATCCATCAGAAGACGTGTCCAATTTAGAAACTGTGACAGTTGCAGATGAACCAACAGGATTGGCAATTGATCCAGTAAAAAACCATTTATATTGGACAGAACAGTCCAAAGGAAATCTGTTCAGAAGCAATTTAGATGGGTCAATGAAAACGTTGATACTACAAGATGACATATTATTTGCTCTTACAATAGATTTCCGAGGAAGGTTTGTATCGGATTAGCTACGTTAGATTAAGGTATACTAGATTAAGATTAAGTACATGTACTCTAAAAAGCTATATCAATCATCCACCTGAAATATTACATATCTTGGTAATACCATTAATATGTCAAAAGCCCAATCTGTGATGAAATGTCTTTGCTTTTTTTCTGTTTTTTTTTTTTTGTAAAACATTGCGTGTTGACTCCTTTTGAAAAAAAAATGAATAAATATTGCCATCGGTGTTTACAGGTATTTTATTAAGTTTAAACTATCTCATCCGCCTTTCAACCTTATTTCCTGTTATATTTATTTTATTTTCTTTTATTTTCTGTTCAGACATATTTGATCATATTAACATATACAATTAGTGTACTCGAATTCTGACGAGTAGACCGATGGAATAACAATGTTCTCAATATGAAATAAGGAATCCTTCGTTTACTTTTGAAATCTTCTAAGACAAAGCACTGAAATATTATTCAGATTCACGCCTTTGCATACAGTCAAAAAGGGTACTCGCAGATTCGTACTTAGTTTCTTTTTAGGGATGAGGGATGGATGTACAATCTTAATGTGCATCGGGGACTTTCTATACTGTCCATGAGTGCATTAAATGTTTATTTCGATAAATATGAAATTCTTTAAGTCGTTTAAACATTTATTCTATATAAAATGTTATGAGTTCTGATCTGTTTCAAAATATTTCATTAATCTATAAGATAACTTGGTTATTTGATAAAATCTGTAAACAATGACAATAACGCATTGTACTTGGATTGTATAAAATAATAATGATAAATGAAAGCAATATCGATGTACAGTTACTTGTATTTATCATGTTTATGGTCGCCGGCTATGATTCATAGTGTCTACATTACTAATGTTTCTTTTTCTGCACTAACAGTGCCAGCATGTCCTCTTTTTATTCACCAAAATCAGCAGTTTTCACATCTCAGCCTGTCTCAAATAGAGCAAAAATATTTGACCATCTAAATGTATATAGCCTCAAAATAAATCAATATTTTTTATGTCAGGAATGACTGTGTAATACAAATGACAGCAATACTGGAATACAATGATTTCAAAATTTTGTCCACATCAATTAAGAGTGCGGGCATGTCCTCTTTTTTTAAATATTGAAGCGTAACAAAAATTCAGTAGTTTTGATACCTAAGGCTGGCTCGTATAACAAAATAATTTGACCGCATCAACCAAAACTGACCATATTTGGATTTTATTATATAAACTTACATGGCCGCATAATACATCAGTATTTTTTTTATGTCAGAATGGATTGTTTTATACAAATGACAGCAATATTGAAACACAAATACTACAAAATTTTGTCCGCATCAATTTAGAGTGCCACCATGTGCTCTTTATATTTAAAATATTGTAACGTAACAAAATTTCAGTAGTTTTGAAACCTCAGGGTGGCTAGTATAAGAAAATTATTAGACTGCATAGAACAAAACTGACCATATTCCATGTATTTGCACTTTTTTATTGAAATGTTTATAGCTGCATAATAAATCAGTAATATTTTTACGTCAGGAATGATTGTATATTACAAATGACATCAATATTGGTACACAATGACTACACAATTTTTGACCGCATCAATTTAGAATAGCAGCATGTCCATGTTTTATTATAAATATTGATTTATCACCAAGTTATCTGAGGCTGACTCGTATAACAAAACAATTTGACCGCGTCAACCAAAACTGACAATATTTGCACTTTATTATGTAAATTTACATGGACGCATAATAAATCAGTATTTTTTTATGTATGGATGGATTGAACAATTGTATAATACAAAAGACAGCAATATTGGAAAACATTGACTACAGAATTTTGTCCTCATGAATGTAGAGTTCCAGCTGTCCTTTTTATTGAAAATTCAGTAGTTTTGATATCTCAGGCTTGCTCATATAACAAAATCATTTGAAAGCATCGACCATAACTGACCATATTTGGACTTTATTATGTTAATTTACATGGTGCATAATGATAATAAATCATATTTTTTCATGTCTTGATATGTTGTTTTATACAAATGACAGCAATTTTGGAACTCACTGACTACAAAATTCTGTCCGCATAAATTAAGACTGCCAGCAAGTCCTCTTTTTATTCAAAATATTGACTCGCAACACAATTTCAGTAGTTAAGATACTTCAGGCTGACTCCTTCTACACAATTATTTGTCCGTATTAACACTGATTAACCAAAACTGACCATATTGGCACTTAATTATATAAATGTGTAATACCACATAATAATTCAGTAGTTTTTTTATGTCAGGAATGATTGTATAATTCATATGACAGCAATATTGAAACACAATGAATACAAAATTTTTACAACATCAATTTAGAATACCAGCAAGTCTTCTTTTTATTCAGAACATTAACTTCCAACAAAATTTCAGTAGTTTTCATATCTCAAGCTGACTTGTATAACAGAATTGTATGACCATATCAGCCAAATCTTTGAGAGGTTTTGTCTCATTGTTCTCATGCATGAAAACACATTTCTATTACAAGTAGATGGCTGTACTACAGTACATTAGGAACCAATAAAACGATAAGTCGATCAAGATTGGATGGTACTGAACAACACACATTTGTAGACGTCAAGTTGGAAAAAGTAACTGGCATAAGTATAGGTATGTCAACATTAATGTTCATTTATGAAAATATGAAGACTGGTGTCTGTTTGTGTAATCTGTCATAGGATATATGTGATATTATGCTGTGTCCTATTTTTTTGTAATCTAATACAGACGATGCGAATAACTTACTTCATCATGCGTGTTTATTAATCCTGTATGTTTTTTTTTAAATTAAGTTCATTTATATGTTTTGGACGACTTCCGTCTTCTCTGAACGAATACACATTTATTTATGGGCCAGCTGAGGTCCGCCTTCGTTTGCTATCTGCTCTTAGGTCGGGTTGTTGTCTTTTTGACACATTCCCCATTTCTATTCTCAATTTCAATTTTATGTTAGATTTACACTTTTAACGTACAGATTATAAACAGCAGCTCCTGTTTCGTATGATTAATCAAGTTACGCTTTCGTCTGTTTGTTTGTCAATGTCCTTGACATCTCTAATATTTCGTATACACTTCACAGATAATACATGATATATTTGAAGTATAGATTGTATGTACTTTTGGCGTGCCTCGGTATTAAAACACCCCTTCATTGTGTTCTGCTGTGGATATATTTGTACTTTTGTCTTTCATTTTGCGTATTTAATTTGTCTAGATAGCGGTTTTATTCTATTTTGTTTTTTGTTGTTGAAATAAATATTTGATTTTATAGCGATTTAGATTAAAACAATGTTTTGACTGCTATAAAACAATTTTTTAAATGTCTATGCACTATGTCTGGTTGTTTTGCTCACACATATTCTGGAGCTTTTAATTTTGTCATTTGAAAAAGTAAGTTTTGTTTTGAATTTTACGTAGGGTTTGGTATTTTTGTTATTTTCTTTTTCTTTTTTTTTTTCTTTTTACGTCGTCCCCAATGCTATAACAAGGCATGTAATCAGCACGTTGACATGATGTATTAAATATTAGTTTATTTTTGTTCTGAAAATAAGCTCTTCAGTTAATGCTAAGGTTGTTTTATCCCCAAAGCATACTTCGCCTTTGCGGTTGTGGCACATATTTGTTGTATGCTTTGTATGCGAAGTTATATCCAACTAGTTTTTTTCTACCACCTCTGATGTGTCCTGCATACTAAATAATGATCTTTGTATTCTTTATGATTTTTTTTTCAAACAATGGTTTGTGCTTGTACAAAGAGTAAATCTATATTCATCAAGAAACTGCTTTAACACACAACAATCTTATATTGTTTATTGCGTTTGTTAACCTGTTACCTATTTATCGTAGTAAATTAAACTCATAACAGGAATTGTCTTTACGTTTAACTGCTTTAAATTTTACCAATGGATATGTGCTTAGGCGCTTGCGAGTATGTGTGGTCGCATCACATTCTGTGTGCGCAGCGGTTGTTGTCTGTTATATAAGATATTTGTTTTTCGTTTATTGTTTTTCATTTCATAGTATGAGTAGTAGATTTTCACGTTTGAATTTTTATGCTATTGTTTCATAGTTTGCTTTGCATATAACAAGGGTTTTGCTCATTGTTTAAGGTAGTACGATTATTTAATTTTGCTGACTTCTGCGTCATTTTTGTTGGTTGTGGAAATCTTGTCTCATTATCAATCATAACGCATCGTTTTATTTATATGTAATCGAACAATTTGTCTGAAGTGTTATGCTTTTTATCGGCTCATCTTCTTTAGCTTAAACCGATTTTTTAAGCATAAAAATGACGTACATTAGTTATCAGTAGATTTGTATAGAAATTAAAACAATTACATTTAAACTAATAGTGTCTTAAATCAAGCATCGCTGGTGAATCTCTGGCAGACGGAGACCTATGCATAACGTATACCATTATCAGCCTGGTATATTTGATGACACTTTACTATATTGTTAGTAAATAATAATGTACAGCATATATTCATCTATCAGATTATGATAGTGGTCGACTTTACTGGATGGAAAATGTGGAAGGCATATTACAATCCACAGATTTCAATGGTACTTATAGAATGAAGGTTTCTAGCACAATAACGGAGCAAGCATGGGAATTTGTGCATATGGTGATGACATATACTGTTCAAATGGTATGCACCTGCTTCAAGTCAAACTTTCCGGAGGCATGCGAAGACCTTTTGTCTTATACTCAGATAAAGACACGATACATGGTGTACTTTACATTAACAGAAAAGGTAAGTTGTGTGACCGGATGCTTTTGTTATTATAAACACGTTTGAATATTCATTAAGGTTTTACAGATAATGATAGTAACTAACGGTCACATAATCAATCTATTATCCTGATCTAGTGATAAAATAAACTCAACATAGATACACTGATTGTCTACAAAAGACACGTCAGTTACGCTTCAATCAAAACAGTTTTAAAAAAAAAGATCAAATAAGCAGCTTCATCCACCTAATTTCTATATTTTTACATCGAATTTGACAATTTGTCTACTGTGGTCATACAAGTACCCGAATCTATAACAAATGAGACGATTTCAATTCAAAAATTATAAATATTCCTCACCTTAGCAGTAATATAGCAACTTCATCTACGTAATGAGTAGAAATTTCTCTTCTAATACGAAATGAAAGAACGTATGGAAACAGTCATCGGTGCTAGAGGCAAATTTTATCAAAAAGTGCATCGGAAAGTACCAAGACCAAAAAAGTAAATACTTTTTGATTGCATTTATGTTTGTTTAAATGTATTTTGTCAGTAATGTTTATGTCTGTTATGCATGTTAAAATCATATTACCGCCATCACATTCTTCAAAAATTCATGTACAAAGACAGAGTGATAGTTGTTTTTCTGTTCATTTGCATAAGTCGACTTACTATAGAAAGACAGATATAACACAAGTTATCTATATTATATTTAAAGTATTATGAAAATGGTTCATTTGACCACCAAGTAAAGCAAATATCTTTAAATTTAAGTTTTGTTGAAATTCGGATAAACTAGTAGATATTTAAGTGAAGAAGTCACTGTTTCACTGCCTACAATACAATATGAATATCTCACTGAGACATCCAAGCTGTTACCGATTGTGTTTTAAGGTGGACAATTAACACCCCGTATAGGGATGCACATCCAAAACTGAGCTTATTTACAATAAAACTTTATCAAAGGGTCGGGCGACAAACAGGTGCGTTTCCAGTGCAGTGAAGGTGTTATGCTGCCGCTTTATTCATCAATTAACCTGTAAGTCCCAATTTCTAATTCTGGAAATGTTACTTTATTCTTACTCAAACTCTTTTTTATATTCATAATTATTAAAACTAATAAACGTTGAAACAAGTTCGTTAGACGTGTAATAGCATTACTGAGGTGAATATTCTAATACTCATACATTTTGTACATGGCACAAACTCGTTTGATTTTTTTTTTCTGCAAGCATTCGTTTTTTTTTAATTTTTGTCATAGCTACTTAAGCCTCAAATGTTTATTTAATTTCATGCATCCATTGATATTAACTGCTTGTGTTTCATCGTTCCTGATGACGTTAAGATAGGAATGTGATTCGATCGAACGTAATTCATTGAATGGTGTTTATATTTACTATGTATATACCAGTGTTGGGTAACTGTTTATACCGGATGCTTTAACTTTTAACATTCAAGTAAAGGACATTTTCCATTGCAGACCAATATCCTGTTGTAACTATTAATTCAAACTATTATGTAGTGGATTATGGAAGTTCGATGACTACTGACTGCTCATTCCAAACTTCTGAATGGAATCCTGTTCGTGAAATATATTGGCATTTCAATAACAGTGGAGTAATAACACGGATTGTAAAAGGAACCGAGAGAATATCAGGAAGTTCAATCGAAACACCATCTCTCACAATTTTCAATGCGACATCATCTGAATCGGGAACATACACCTGTTACGTGAGAAATGATATTGGAACAGGACATAGTATACCAATATATGTTAAAATAACAGGAGGTTTGTAAATCTTTTGATGTTTACAATGCTTTTCACTTTGTTTTTTTTTTTAACTTTTTTCGCTCCTTTTTTTTAATATGTAATCCCATTTTATTAGCAGGCATGCAAAAAGGTTACTCATCAGTGCTGTTATAACATAAAAAACATGTGTTACTGTGTTAACAATATTTAAATATATACCTATTTGGGCCGTGCATCTAACTGTATAAAATTGCAATTATGTAAATTGTGCAACAATCTAAAAAAAATATTAGAAAACACGCAACTTCAGTTTACCACATTATGTCAATGTCGATAAAACCCATCCCGTATGATATTTCAATAAAAATTATAGAAATAAGAAAATGTGATATGATTTGCAATTAAGACAATTCTCCACCAAAGACCTAGTGTCGTAGCAAGTAACAACAATAGACAATGAGCAAAACCCATACCGCATAGTAAGATAGCCCATAATATTGACACACTCACATAATTTTACATCAAGAGACGAAACATGTGTTTAACATGTTATAATGCTCATTGCCGGTTTTTATGTTAAGTCGTCTGATTAATCATGTCGCTAAGTTTGTTTTATTTTTGTATTTGAAACATTTGACTGATTGTGAATTTGAAAGGTGGTTGAAGCATGAACATCAGGCTACGCTAATCTTGTTTCGCTCATCTCTGATTTCACAGTATTCCCCCACTTTTTGTGTGTTACCTTTAATATGTATATTCCTCATGCATGATATGATTTTTGGCAAACTACTGTCGCCTTGATATAGTAACAAAAGATCGATCTATCAAATATATTATGATAATGATTTGAACAGGTTAAAGACATCCTTCAGGTTTTGTTTTAAACCAAGACAAAATATACATCTTCGTGAATATGTTACTTATCATAATAATTTTGTCTATCGCCACAAAGAAAAATCGTTACTTTTGTTATGTTTGTACATTGTACTTTATTTTTATGAAAGCGCTTCAGACACACAACATTTAAAAATATAATCTTTATTTAGTACTGTACATCTTTGCTCACATATATGAATTATTAACATGCCATATTTAAAATGTAGATGTGCCAATTGTGTTTGTCGGAAATAGAAATTATCCAATAGGGTACGGCGAAAAAATAACATTATTCTGTAACATATCATCTGAACCTCCTGCTAATAATGTTTATTGGGAGAAAGTAGTCAATGGAACTAAACACATACTGAATAATTGGACAGTTGGTATTCAAGGCGTTTCTGTAGACACGCCATCGATTACTATAGCGGAAAGTACTACTGCAGATATAGGAACGTACAGATGTGTAGCTATAAATGATGTTGGGACTGGTTATGGTGCAACCATACTGTTGGGCGTAATTGGCGGTAGGTCACTATCAAGTTATTGCCTCTTATTATTTGGTAATATTCTGACCTGATAGCTATATCATTTTACACGGAACAAAGTGAATCAAGTATTTGTCATCCTGTGTCGTGTAAACATGTAAAGATATCGAATAAAATTTGTAATGTTCTCCTAAAAAAGATTCCCTACCTAATTGTAAATAAACAAAACCAAAACTTTCCGTCGGACACCAACTGACGTGTAAGTAGTTAACGTATGATGAAATAAAATTGAGAATGGAAATGGGGAATGTGTCGGAGAGACAACAACCCGAACAAACAGCCGACGGCCACCCATGGGTCGTCAACACAGCGAGAAAATCAGCCACTCGGAGGCGCGCTTCAGCTGGCCCCTTAAGAAAGTGTGTACTTGTTCAATGAAAATGGACTTTACGCTAAACTCCAAAACATATAAATGAACTAAAATTGAAAAAAAAGAAAAGGCTGACAAAGGCCAGAGGCTCCTGGCTTGGGACAGGCGCAAAAATGCGGCGGGTTTAAACATGTTTTGTGAGATCTCAACCACCCCCCTATACCTCTAGCCAATGTAGAATAAACAAACACACAGTAATACGCACAGTAAAACTCAGTTTGGAAGAAGTCCGAGTCCGATGTCAGAAAAGGTAACTTAAGAAACTAAGCAAAATGATAATAATACATAAATTAACAAGGGACTACTAGCAGTTACTGACATGCCAGCTCTAAACATCGATTAAACTGATTGAAAGATTATGTCTTTATCATAGGAAAATCAAGCACAATCCCTCCCGTAAGGGATTTAGAATCATACCATCATAAAATATATGAGAAGAACATAACCCGTATCATGCCAACAACTGGTTTTAGAATGTGTATATTTCCGATCCAAAGACCCTATGAGTCAATCAAAATTCATACCAAAATATGCCATCTTTAATGATCTGACAACAGTATCATAACTATATCCCTTCTGAATAAGTCATATATCAGCTTTAGGAATATAGTTCGTTACTAATTATGTATAAGCTTTCAAAATATCGTTACTAATTGTCTATCAGCTTTCGAAATCGAGTTTTACAAAATGTGAAACTGTATTATAATTGAATTTTTAATATACTAGTCAACAAAAGAAACGATACAGGGCAATGTATTTTCCATATATAATGCAATTGGATACACTGTACTAGGTAAATAAATAATTGCCCAATTGGTCTTTTAGTTTATGTTGGATACGAGAAATTGTTGGGAGTGAAATGTTCTTCAAAATGTTGAATACGAATATCAACTATGTTCATTACTGAATTAAAAGAAAATAATCTAAAAATTTTATGTCAGCTTTTTCTCGTTTTATCCATTTTGAGCAGTAAGTCCGGAGTGAGTCGTGCATGATGTTACGACACTCATTCCAATTGATAATTGACGGGGGACAATATTTAGGTCACTTACTGAGGAATGATTTCAACTCTCGGTCATGAACCATGTTAAGGTTGTCCTGTTATAACATAGGAACTGGGGACATAAATGTATTTGGAATTACTGCAATTTCATGACGTAGGTGTATCATCACTGATATTAACATCTTTACACACTTCGCTATAATTAAACACATATTTTCAGGTGGATTTTTTGTAAACATAACAAATGAGAGGGAGTTCAGTATTATCAAAATATCCAGGAATTTGTTCTTTAACAGAATAATCATAAAAAACCTGCAATATTTACAAAATCAAAACCTTTATTGACATATTTGATTTTAATAAAATGTTTTTATGATCTTCAGGGCGATCAATTTTGGAAGACAGTTAAGAATAACAATATGCAATTATAACGTGGACGATTTCATACTTACAGCCCGTAAGCTGGTAACGTGAAAGTTAACACTTTTTTCATTCGGGAATCGTACGTACATCGTTCGGGAATTGTTCGTATAGAGTTCGGGCATCGTTCGTACATCATTCGTATAGCGTTCGAACAACGTTCGGTCAGCGTTCGTTCATCGTTCGTTCATCGTATGATAATTGTCATCGTTTAGGGTTTTGTATATCGTATGGTTCGTGGTATCGTTAAGCGTTTTATTTGTCGTATGGTACATGGTATCGTTAAGCGTTTCGTTTATCGTATGGTATATGATATCGTTTCCGTTTCATCTATCGTATGGTATATCGTTTTGTTAAGCGTATGGTATATTTTAGGGTTTTTTATTTCAGAAAGTTATTTCAATTATTATTTTGAGTTAAGATAATTTAATATAAAGAAATACGGGATAAAAAAAGATAATTATTAGATTGGATTGATTGATAGTTGGTTGCGTACTTGTATATATAAAAAATAACCAAACGGATGCACCACTTTGGCAAGGTTTTTTGTAATGCCAGGCGGAGAAAGACCTGTAGTGACCATATTACTATCCCCTATTCACCCTTTGGGGCGACCTACATTTGCACGAATTTACCTGTAGTTTACCTGAGTTCTTTTTTACCTGTAATTTGTTTTTCGATTATTGTTTTGAACATAAATTGGTGATCATACAACATCTTCTTTTTTTATATATTGATAAACATGTAATAGATTTGATTTGATTTTTGGTGTTTTAACGCCACTTTTAAGCACCGCTTTTGGGCTATTTCGTGGCGGCCAGTTTTTATTGGTGGAGGAAGCCGGAGTGCCCGGAGAAAACCACCGACCTTCGATAGGAAAACTGACAATCCTAGTCAATTAAGATTGGAGTCGAGTGCACCCGCACGAGCAGGGTTCGAACTCACAACCTCAGTGTTGACTGGCTAGTGATTACAGTAGTAACTACTTAGACCAGTCGGCCACCGAGGCCCTCCAACATGTAATAGACAAGTCTTTATTTGTTGATATAAACATTAAAAGGCACTATATTTAGATCTGTGTAAAAGAAAAGTTTTGAATAAAATACAGTGAATATCATAGAAAAGAACATTTAAAGTATATAGTCATGAATAAATCTTAGAATACATGCACATGATATCTATACGGGAATCATCTATAGATCAGTCCTTGTCTAGTACTTATATCCTAGCGATTTCAGATAGCATTGACGGGAAATTTTTCCAGTTTGAAATTTCAGAAATTGTTGAACTGTAAACTTAATTTTCTCTTTGTCTGTGCGTTTAACAAGGGCCTGGTTATCGCTGCAGCAAATTTTCTTATTTTATTAAGTAAATTTGTTCGAATGAATTTCAGTTTATTTTAACAATATTAAGTAAATTTTAATTTTTTTTTATAAAAAATTATGGATTTATTTTCATATGTTTTTGTATAATTCCGCGCAAATGTAGTAACTTTTCATCAGATAAATTTCGCGCAAACGTGGATTTTTTTCTCGCGCAAATGTAGGACGAATTCGCGCAAACTTAACGTGCCGACCCTTTTGGACTATATTAGATTGGAAAGAAATTTACTTTCTTGAAAAAATAAACATTTCGATTGTTAATTAAAGCAAATAAGTTATCTTGATTATTATAATTTTTGTTTTATACTAATTGCGTAATTCTTATTGTCTTTTTGTTATGTTGAATAATTGTGTAAAAACATTTCAAATTCGATCTGATAAAATGTTAAAAAAACTAACCTAAAGAATACCCTTAAATGAATGGAACGTGAACTATCTATTTTACATAAAACTTATTCAGTAGTAAAAATAGTGTATTGGTTGTAAACGTTTTAACTTGATTGAGAAACGTTTAGAAATGCAATAAACTTATTTTACATGTACTATAACTTTATGTTGATTTCGAACTGTATACCCTTGCTTACCGTTAGAAAAAAGAATCTGCAACTAATAACATTACATTATGGAATACCCTGCTATATAAAACGAAGGGGAAATATTTCCTTCCATCACATTTTGACATGAGTAACATGAGACCAAATACCGCAAAATATATTAGTCTCTCTCTCTCTCCCTCTCTCTCTCTCTCTCTCTCTCTCTCTCTCTCTCTCTCTCTCTCTCTCTCTCTCTCTCTCCCTCCTAAATTATATATAATGTTCTATGAATGAGGCTTTATATGAAATACACGTTTTATATCTAAATGTAGAAGACCAAAAACCTATGTAGTTTGTAACTCTTGCAAAACAAGGATTTTAAATGTTATGAATAAAAAAAGACAAGACATCCCTGGTATTTGTTCCCCTCAATGACAGAGTCTGATATCAATGGAAGATTACCATGGATATATAAAAAAAAACTGGTGAAGGATTCTATGAAAACAGCTTGGCTTTCGATTGCTGCTATGGTGTTAAAAGTGTTATTTTGACTGAAAAAAGTGCTTAAAGTCATATGAAACTTCAAATTAAAAAAATGATTCAGATGTTTTTTTATAACTAAATGGGTGGTTTTTATCATAAAACTCAGCAAGACCTTTCTCGTAAATATCAGGTGATCGCAATGCGACAGTGCGAAGGGAAATACCAAACTGGCAGAAGGGGTCAACAAACGTAAACATCACTCCGTCATCGAAATAAACTATATCTTATTGTACATGTTGTACACGTGCTTACCTGAATATCCATGCTTCTTTGTTGATTGTTTAAAAAGATGACAATCGGTAAACTTCGGATTCAAAACACGACCATTAATAAGCTGCCATATTTTCACAACAACATTGACCGAGTGAAATATTTTTTTGACGATTATACGAAATGGATGCTTAAAAATGATTAAATTTATGGTGTTTACATATCTCAATTGATACGTTATTCTCGTGCTTGTTCACACTATACGGACTTTATATACAGGAGTGTGCTCCTTACACAGAAACTGCTCCAACAAAGTTATGAGGAGGACAGATTAAAAATGACACTCCGTAAATTTTACGGACACCATCACGAATTGGTTAGTCCATACGATGTGTCTTTGTCCAAACTAACTAAGGACATTTTTACCACGTGTTAGATTGTGGTTTGTCATTACGTCGTCTGATCTTTTAATTACCGAAAGTGACTTATTCCCGATTGTGACTGTTTTGCTAAGTGTGAAACCGCATTGCTATAAGACGTGTCACGGTACCTTTCTATCCCAAATTCATGTATTTAATTTTTATGTTATCTTTGTTATTCTCGTCGGATTTTGTCAAATGTCTTAACGTCTTTTCTGTTATATTCGTGTGTTATGGTAAAGATAATTAATCACCACCTTCATTTATTAGATTTTAGTTTGGTTCATCGATATTTATACGATATATTTGGTTTCGTTTTGATTCAGAAGAAACACCGACATAGCTAGATAATACAATTAATTATCTAATTACTACCACAATTTGATATTAATAAGTATTGTAATTTTCATTGTTATTAATAAATGTGATGTCAGTACTACAAATCTAATCTTGAATCAATCCTAATCTTATCTTATTTTTGGGAAATATTTTTACAAATTCAAATGTGACGTCACTTTGTGTGTTTTTTTAGAATTCAAATGTGACGTCACTTTGTGCGTTGATGCTTTAGCTAACTCGGCTGTGTATTTTTATATGTTGGATTAAGTTGTGTTATGTAATGTATCCGTTTTTATTCTGTAGTTAGTCCCCACTTCGGTTTGATCGTGTATATCTATTATATAGTCATTTTATAAAATTTACTGTTTGCAAAATTATAAATTATTCTAAATAATAAGGATGTTCTTGTCCCAGGCAGAAAACCCTGGCCGTGTTAGGCGCAACTTTTTTGAAGTTTTGGTCCTCGGTGCTCTTCGGCTTTGTGCTTGTTTTGGCTTTCAAGCTTTTTTCATCTGAGCGTCACTGGATGGTCTTGTGTGGACGAGACGCACGTCTGGCGTATTGAATTTTAAGCCTAGTACCTTTTGTCAGCTATTATTCGTGTGTTTCTTTGTCCTATATGTTCTCCCATTTATTTGTATTGTGGTCCTGTCATGTGATGTTGTCGTTTTGGTGTTGTGTTTGACGTTGCGATTAAAGCGGGAGGTTTGGCATGCCACAAAACCAGGTTCAACCCACCATTTATTCTTAAAATGTCCTGTACCAAGTCAGGAAAATGGCCATTGTTATATTATAGTTCGTTTCTGGGTGTGTTACATTTTTAATGTTGTGTTTTTGTTGTGTCGTTGTTCTCCTCTTATATTTGATGCGTTTCCCTCATTTTTAGTTTGTAACCCGGATTTGTTTTTATCTCTATCGATTTATAAGTTTCGAACAGCGGTATACTACTGTTGTCTTTATAAATCGTGAACAGAAGACTGAGTTTATATCATATTCATGCATTGGTTCA